CTGTGTAAAAAATATATTATCTTTCTGCTGTTGTCATGATACCAACTTTGTCCCAGAATGAAAAATTATGGATAAGGAAAGTAATCTGCCCTGCACTGCCTGAGGTGATGCTGATATAACTGCACTTCTCACAGAGCCTTGGCAGCACCAAGTGTTTGTCTGTTCCACTCATAACCTTCGCAATCAAATCCAGTGCTGCAAAACACTCTTCAAAATACCTAGAAACTTGCTGCCACTTTTCAAATAACCAATGTAGAGTGGTCACTGCCTCAGTACAGTCTGTGTAAAAGACAGCATGTGAATCCCTCCACCATGATGATGGGCAAAAGTCAAGCTTAGATTTGGAGCTTAGATTTGAAATACAATTTGAAATATAATCTGAATGCTTACCTGCTAGTGGTGTCAGTTCGTTTTGGGATGGCTAAATGATTGGCAAAGGCAATGCCTGATCTCTGTGGCAGAGCAGGCTTTCTTTCCCCAATATCAGATCTCCATAGCTGGGCTAGGTACCTTCCCAATGTTAGTTTTTATCAATGCTTGACAAAGATTACTGCCACAGTGCATTTTGACAACCGTCTCGACTTGACTATCATTGAAAACTTTAATTATTCAGCTGTACCCTAGGGATAAGGTGTTACATGACCTGGTGGACCTCCCTAGAAGTTACATTCATACTGCGACTCTTCACTTGAGAACGTGGAGTTTGCTTCTTGTGTCAGCAACTCTACTACCCAAATAGCATAGAATCATAGAACCATAAAATTATTTGAGTTGGAAGAGAATTTAAAGATCACCTAGTTTCAAATCCACTGCCACGAGCCGGGATATCTACTACACCAGATTTCTCAACTAGGCCAGATTTCCCCTGGCCTTGAACGCTGCCAGAGATGGGGCATGCATAGATTCCTGAGGCAACCTGCTACAGTACCTCACCTCCCCCCAGTAAAGGATTTTGTAAAAAGTCCTTCTCCTCTTTTCCTGTTGGCCCACTTCACATACTGGATGGGCGCTCTGAAGTGTCCCTGGAGCCTTCTGTTCACTAGGCTGAATAACCCCAACCCTCTCAGCCTGTCTTTGTGGGAGAGAAGATGTGCTCCAGATTGTCTTCATGGTCTCCTCTGGACTCACTCCAGCAGCTCCATGTCCTCCCTGTGGTGGGACCCCAGAGCTGATGCAGGGTTCCAGGTGGGCTCTCACCAGAGCAGAGCAGAGCAGAGGGGCAGAATCCCCTCCCTCCCCTTCTGCCCACGCTGCTTTGGATGCAGCCCAGGACACGTTTGGCTTTCTGGGCTGGGAGTGCCCATGGCTGGGTCATGTCCAGCCTCTCACCCACCAGAACCCCAAGTCCTTCTCACAGGGCTGCTCTCCATCTGCTCATCCTCCAGCCCACAATATGAAAATGTAAAACAGGGATTCTCTCCTTTTACAAAGGAAACTGAAGTGACAGTAAGTGTCCTGGTCAGGTTGTCAGAGAAAGTTTGAGATCAAGTAGGAGCTTCAACCATCTAAATCATAGTTCAAGTCCTTAAAACACGGATAGATTTCTACCTAAGTGTTTGCCTTCTTAAGGTCTTCAATGTAAAAGAGTGAACTGTTTGGGGGTTTTTCTGGTTTGTTTGTTTGTTTGTTTGTTGTTTGTTTTTTTTTTTGAATACCTGAAGACATTACGTACATGACTCTGCCAAGAGATGTTATTTTATGTTGTGGTCTGTTTTCAGTAATGTCTGCTGTCAGCTACAGCAGCAACTGAGCATCATTACCTATTACATCTACAAAGGAAGGTTTTATTTTTTTAATATGTGTGCTATTTTATTCATGTGTTATTGCAAACACATAAGAAAATAGACTATTTTTTATAAATATACATGTATGACAAATAATAGGTAAGTTGAAAATAGAGGAATAACTACTTGCAGGAGCATGTTTGTATTCTGTCATCCACATTATCTCATCTTTTGAGAAACAAACAAAATTATCATAATTGTTCATTCCTTTCATACCTTACCCTTTTCCATTACCCTCACTGTCACTATTCATCTAAATGATAATGCTCTCTTCTGGTTTTGGCTCATTGCAAGCCTCCTCTGGTTGAAAAACAAAATCTACTCTTCAGAATGTTTCAAATACCTCTGCCTGAAATGCCATTTTATGCTGCTCAACATCCTGCAAATTATATTGGAGGTCTTCTCATACAGTGGATTATGCAGGCTTGTCACACTGCAAGAGTCCCAGTGAGAGGGAAAGTTTGCCTTAAGAACAAGGAGAAAATATTTATCTTGATAGAAGGAGGCAAAAGGATGGTTTCCTTAAGAAAAGCTTTGTTGGAAAGGTTTCTTAATAAAGCTAGTTTTGTACAAATGAAGTCAGAATAAAAATAAAGTAAAACAGTTTGGCATATCCGTATCTTTTCACCATCCTTGATGAATATTATCACTGCTTTCATTTGTTCAATTCATGAATCACGGTCTAAGTGAATATCCTTGCATGTTATTCATCATGTTTGACTTCTGAATAAAACCAGTTTAAAATATCCTGGGACTTTTTCAACAGCATTATAGGTTCTCTTAAGAATGGGATATTAGAGCCAGCCAGAGTGCATCTTTTTTGTTTATTTTGCTTTTTCTGGTAATCAGGAGTTCCATTCTTGCACGTTTGCTGTTTTGAGATGTCTGTCTGGCCCTGCTGAGCTGCCATTGAAGAAAATGGAAATGCTACAAGAAATTTGCATTCCTTGAGGAATATATCATGGCATCTCTACAGAACAGAGGCTTCCAGCAATGGAAGCTGGAGCTGATACTGATCCAAAAACTGCAACCATACACCCCCGTTACAGAGAAAAGGGGGTGGAGCTTTTTGGGCTTTTAAATTTTCATTTTTAACTTCATACTCCCTATATCATTGGTGAGGACAAGGTTTCATCAAGAAGAGCCAAGTACTGTAAATTCACCATCTTGCCTGGCTCTCTCCAGCAGAGTGTGTGCCCCTAGGACTGAGTGAGCACTGCTGAACACAGCTGGGCACACTGGTCCAGAAAAACATCAGGCAGCCCAATACAGGTGATCTGGCTCCTGTTTTGTCCCAGTTCATTGTAGTTTATTTTGGGTTTTTTTCAGACTTGAGGTCCAGGAGGGGTTTTAAGCCATGAGAACTCTTCTCAGCATATTGCCTTTGGAAACCATGTGGGCAGTGCTGCTTTTGGGAAGCCTCTTTTTTTGTTCCCAGTGGTGAATAACTTTTTGTGGGTGCCTCTCTCTTTTATAAACTTTTTGCCACTAATACTGCACCGGCTCACACAAATTTATAGTAAATTGTTATTCCAATTTATATGTTCTCCTCATTGTTCCTCCATTATTGGAATGGATGGGGCAAAAAAGTGGGGCTTGTTTGAAATTTACTTCCCTGTGACTTGGTAAAACCAGCACACTATGGTAAGTGCGGCAAGGAAATTAAGGCTAGATCCAGCACCTCACTTCACACAAATACCACCTGTTAAGACTGGGACATCTTCAAAACAGCATTATTGCCAGCCTCTCTGAACATATCATGGCTATCATTCGCAACTTGAAATTTAGCTGATCAGGTGGGGATGTTAAGATGGCAAGATGGAACTGCCTTAAGAATGTCATTCTGGTTTGCTTTATTAAAAAGTTTAAATATCAAGTTTGATCCTGGTGACTTTTTTTTCTTCTTATCCCCTTGTTTGTCATAAGTTTAATGAAATGGATTTATGGTTTAATTAATTGGATTTATTGGTTTAATGAATTGGACAAAGGTTTATGTCACTATGTCATGTTGTTACTATCATCTTGTTGAAATACACAGACTACAGAAAGGCTTGGCAGTTAGGAATAATTCTCTTTCCTTGACTTACAGGCATTTCTTACAAGTTCATCAGGTAATCAGCCAGAAGCAAGTGAGCTGCTCTGACATGAGGGACTGCTAGGAGTTAACATAGATGCAATGCAAAAATATCAAAAGACAGAAACAAAACTTCTGAGGGAAATGCAAGTTCAACCATCAAATTTCAAATTTACACTTTAATGCATAAATTCTTTTCTTCCAAATGAGTTTCATTTCAGATTATTACACAATTTGTTGAAAGGAAAGTGTTGTCCTGCTGGTCTCTGCTTATTTTTCTAACAGTTAAAGAAGATGAGAAATGTCTGAGTTGGGTTTGGATTCTGACCACCCCTGCTTCTGAGGCTTTGCTCTGCATTTTAAGGACTACATTGCACAATGATAGGCAAGAGTGACAAATCACAGTAGGGAAGATATTATCTGATACAATACTTCAATAAAACATTAAGAACAGTGATTTACTCCTGTGCTTTACATTTCCCTGATAAGACACAGAAGTGAAAGGGGTCCTGCTGCTTTTATGGCACAAATTATGCCTGTTGTACAGATTGTTAGAGCTGGTCAATCTCTCTTGATGGCATCAGCTTTGAACAGATGCCAGAGTTAGGTCTGTACACTTACATGGGAGTCACTTCCATTAGCCAATGTGTGGGAAATCAAGTCTGTGATTTAAAAGAAACGAATATTTTTGCTTCATTCCCTAGCTCAGCTGGCAGATGATCACTTGTTTTGACAGGTCAAGTTGCTGAGGTGCTGCTTGATTATTAGCAGCTCTTCCAGCAGGAGCGCATTGTTAGGTGAGCTTGGCTGAAGCACAAAGCCATGCTTTCAGCTGTAGGTAAAGCCTGTTCCCACATTGTCCTGGTTTTGGACAGGAGACAGAGGTTATTCTATACCACCTCAGGTCACTGAGGTTGGCAGAGGGAAGGGACTCCTTGGACTTCTGAGAAGTGTGTGGGTTTTGGTCAATCAAACTTGGCAGATCAAGGGAAGACATCTGCCACAGTTTCATTTTTTTGACATCCCCAGTGAGCACTTTTGCCAGTGAATCACCCTTTCTTTTGTATACTTGTAAAATTAATTTTATTTCTATTACTTTTTGCTTTCTTATCTCATTGCTGTTTCCAATAAATTGTTCTTACCTCAACCTGTGATCTTCACCTTTTTACTTCCAATTCTCATCTCCATCCTGCTGGAGCGGGAAGCAAGTGATAAGGGTGTGAATCCTTCTTGAAGATGCCATAGTTCAGAAGGAAAGTTCTGCTATCTCCTTGAGGTTTCCATGCTGGAGCTACAATTTCAAATTGTAAGGAGAGCAGAGACAACAGGAAAATAGAATGAGTCTAAACAAATATAAAATTATTTTTGTAAAGGATTCTCCTCTTTAAAATATTACAACTGTTCAGCAATTAAATCACAGAATCATAGAATATGTTGAGTGGAAAGGGGTCACCAAGGATCATCAAAACCAGCCCTGCAAAGCACCATTCCCATGAATCACATTCTGTGCCCAAGAGAATTGTTCAAATGCTTCTTGAACTCTGTCAGACCAACAGAACTTGAACTCTGTCAGGAACCCCCCAGACCAACTTCCCTGGGGGTCTTGTTACAACCACTCCTTGGGTGAAAAACCTTTTTCTAATATCCAGCCTACACTTGCCCTGACACAACTTCAAGCTGTTGCCTCAGGTCTTGTCACTGGTCACCACAGAAGAGAGCAGTGTCTGCTCCTCCTCTTCCATCATGAGGCAGTTGTAACTGCAGTAAGGTCTCCTCTCAGTCTCCTCTTCTCCAGCCTGAATAGCCAAGTGACCTCAACCCCTGCTTCTCCTTAACTCCTTTCACCATCTTGGTTGCCCTCCTTTGGATGCTCTGTAATAGCTTCATGTCTTTGTAATAAAACTGCCCCCAGCGCTCGAGGTGAGGCTGCCCCAGCTCAGAGCAGAGCAGGACAATCCCTTCTCTTGCCCAGCTGGTGATGCTGTGCCTGATGCACCCCAGGGCAGAGCTGGCCCTCCTGGCTGCCAGGCCACTGCTGGCTCATGTTCAACTTGCCCTTGAACAGCTCCCTTTCCATGGCACTGCTCTCCATTTCCTCATTCCCAGGTGGTCCATACACCCAGGGTTGCCCCATCAGCACTTTCCCCTGTTGAACTTCACACAGGTGGTGATTGCAAATCAGATTACCTCTTGATTTGTGAAGGTCTCTCTGCAGGGCCTCCTTGCCTTCAAGGGAGTCAACAGCTTCTCTCAGTTCTGTATCATCTGAGAACTTGCTTAGTATACCTTCCAGTCCTGTGTCCAGATGTTTTATGAAGATGTTGAAGAGCACAGGGCTAAGGATGGAGCCCTATGGAACCCCACTAGTGACAGGTCACACCAGTCTGATGTCACCCCATTTGCTGTTGCCCTTTGTGCCTGACCCATGAGCAGCTGCTCACCCACCATATGATGTGTTTATCCAGCTGTGGGCTGCACATTTTCTCCAGAAGGGTCCTGTGACAGAGAATATTGAAAGCTTTGCTGAAATTGAAAAAAGATGGCATCAACTTCCTGGTTTCCCTTGATCAGCTGAGTGGATCACCCTTCCTAGAGGGAAATCAAGTTTAATAAGGACTCTCCACTCATGAAGCCATACTGGTTGTGACCAATGACTGTATTGTCTTTCAGGTGTTTTTGAATATCTACCAGAATATTTTTAAATAATTTTACCAGGCATTGATGTTATGGTACTGAACTACTGGCAGGCCTGTAGTTTCTGGGGTCCTCTTTCTTGCCCTTCTTCAAAATTGTGACAACATTCGTCAGCTTCCACTCAGCTAGGATTTCCACAGACTGCCAAGATCTTTCAAAAATCAACAGGAGAGGTTTTGTGATGACATCAGCCTTTGAGGATTTTGGGATGGATGCCCTCGGGCCCTGTAGATTGGTAGGGATCCAGCTGGAGCAGCAGATCCTGCACAATGTCAGGGTCATCTGAGAGCTGATCATTCTCACAGTCATGGTCTTCCAGCTGAGACCCCCTTGGTCTGTCATCTGTATTGAAGACAGACACAAAAACCACTTCTGCTTTGTCTATGTCCCTGTTTGTGAGATGACCATCCTTCTCCTGTAAGAAGTTATTTTCACACTGCCTTTTGCTATTAATATATTTGAAAAAACTATTTTTATTGTCCCCCACAGTTCTGGCCAGCTTCAACTCCAGTTGAGCTTTTGGCCACAAAAATTTTCTCCCTACAGTGGTGAGCAGCATCTCTATATTCTTCCAGTGTCACCTGACCTTGATTCTACTGGGCATACACTTTCCTTTTCCCTTATCCAAGACAGCAGATCACTTTTCATTATGAAGAAAGTAATTTACAGTTCTGAATCTTAGTCTGAGAAACCTCAGCTTCTCCTGCTGTTGTTCCTCATTATGCAATGAAGACCAAAAAATATTTTTTTTTAATTAGAGGCAGCACCTAATTCTATTTCCAGCTTTTGACACTGACATTAACATGTCCAAGGAAACAATGGTCTATTTACTGACAGAAAGTGTGGCTTTTATCCAAGCAATATTTCTCTAATTAATATAAAATCACGCCCAAACTTTTAGCCCAGTATCATTAAAAAGCGACTTGCAAATGTTATAGCTGCCATTTAAAGATGCTTAACTGGATAGTGGTGTTATTTTTCTCTGCTGTTCTTGTGTTTGTCTCCTTATGGCTCAGTGTGTGTATGTGAGCATTTGTCTTCCCAAAAGAAATAATTCAAAGATATAAACAACAGGGCCTAAAGATATTTATGTTTAGAATAAAGGGTTTGTGGCACAGTTTCTTCTTATGTAACTGAGCAGCTGGCAGGAGTTCAACAATAAGATGAATTCCCAGTTCTCTTGAAATTATTGCTTTTTCAGGCAAGGTACCTTAGTGGAATTGGACCTAAATCCAATAACCACACCGTATGGTTTTGCCATAAAGATCTGTCAGTGTTTGATAATAAGACACGTAAGTATTACACAGTTTTACCCAGGATCTCATTAATCTGATTGGGAGCTATGTATTTAAATATCTCTGAATCTCTGAACCTAGAACACCAGCCTCAATCATAAGATGTTGCTACTCACAGCAAGACAGCTGCATTTCAGTAAATCATGTTCTCTAGGTGCTTGCAGGGCATGTCAAAATCAGTTAAAGTTCCTCTGACAAACTTCAGGTTCCATTCAACACCTCTAAAGCAAGCAACATCTATGTGAAGCATGGGGCTGGTTAGACATCATTTTTACACTATAGGGAAGACAAACTGCCACTTTCAAGGAACATACATGAGAAAGATCTAACTACAGAAATTTTCCAGCAGGAGCTTAGCACCATTAGCCCACGTCCTAAGCATCTGAGCAAACCGTAGGCTATACATAACCATCAGCCCTTTGGATGAGGCAAATATGGTAATACAGGGACTTTCCTTATTCTCTCCAGAAGATTGGACAACATTTCTTAAAGTGAGAAAGTACTGACCGCTCTCAGAAGGAGCACAGTGCCTGTTTGAGCTCTGTTCTGTGGGGACCCAAATTCATCATTGCTTCCCCCCCGGGAAAAGAAGCTGATGGTTCATGATTACCATTTGAACACAGATGCCTGAAAGGGGGAGGTTAAGCAAAAACACAGTGAACAAATGAAGCCAGGACTGCTCCTCTGGCAGTTTCAGTGACAACATTTTCATTTTGCCAACTTTTCTGGAGGCTGGCAGCAAGGACTGGACAAGTTCACCAGCAGTGCCATCAGGGTTTGGTAGCTGGGCTGCTGGTAGCATGCCTTCCTCATGATCCAGGAGAAGTCCCACCTGGCTGGGCAGGAATGCCTTAAAATCCATGTATAACAAGTCCAACAAGGATTTCTGAAGCTGGTTAATGGACACAGAGACACAGTTGTTAAGTTTAGGGCCTGGAATTCAGACAAAGCTGTACTGCTGCAGTTCAACAAATTATATGCTACCAGAACTGTTGAAAAGGAACTGTGCGTACCTCTGGTGTGCTCAAAAGGGGGGTAAAATAAGCCAAATTATATCAAGTTTGCAGAGGGCATGCTCACCCCTTCACTGACCATAGCCTAGTACTTCTTGCACCATTGTCATCTACAGCTGCAACTCTGTAGAGTTTAGCACATAGGAACACAGCTGCCTTCAGGAGGATTTGTCTGTGAGCTTTTGGGAAGTGCTCCTGACACTTCTTCTGGGTGCACAGCACTTTCCCAGGTGCAGAAGAGAAGCAGATAACTTGGGAGAAGCAGGGATGCTTCTGGTATCTGCGCCCCTGTCAGTATGAAATATATGTGTAAAAGAGCATCTGGGCTTAGAAGTAACCAGAAAGATAAAAACAAGCCAGCAAAACCACACAAGGGAAAGCTCTTGCACAGGTAAATGAATAAAAACCGCAGGATTGAAAACCAAAATGAATATAATAGCTCTCAGTGGTTGTAGTTCCTTAACGTAATACAAGAGTGAAACTGTCAGGAAATGAAGTCATATTTTGGCAATGAACCAATTTCTCACACACTTTATCATATGTTGTCAGTATAGAAAGAACTACCCTGAGTCAAAGGGCTAATTGCAAGCAAAACCTGACAAGAGAAGGGACAGGGCTGCAGTAAGCAGTAGATTTCTGGCTGCAAGAAGATAAGTTATGATAGTTTGCCCTCTTTCCACAGAAAGGAACTGGAATGTTTTGAAGAGGAAAAAAAGGCAACTGGTCTAGAAGTGTTGGGAAAGAGGTGTCTCCCCACACTGCACTTTGTTAACCTGTGGAATTTCCTGCCGAAACATCTCCCTCAGACTGACCGGAAAGGCAGATTAAATATCATTGAAAATCTAAAATACTTCTACATCTAATTAAAAAAAAATAAAAACCCACATATAACTACATGAAAGAGGACAAAAATTATGTATGAAAATAATAAAACCACTTCTGCCTTGGCATATAAACTGACATTCTAATTAGGATTCTTTTTATATTTGGTCATTGAGAAACTGTGAGGTTTCTTGCATCTTTAGCTGAAGCAACATCTCTAGTCACAGTCAGACATGAAATTTTGGGCTAAAAATAATATTAATACCAGCAATTCCGTCTGATCTTCATCTGTTTCCCTGAGTTTGTCCTCCAATACAAAAATTCTAAAAAAGGAAAAATACTACTCACAATTTCCTCAGGGCTAAACATTCCTTCCTAAGAGAACAAACAAGCATAGTCAGCTCAAGTCAGCATTGGGGCAATAGGTGCTTTTTTAGTTTATAGTCACCTTAAATTTGTTAGAAGAAGGGAAGACAATGGTACCTTAATATTTCATTAAAAGACATATGTACTCCTAAAACAAGGATCTTAGGCTCAGTGTCTGTATGAAAAGTTGAAGTCATTTTACTCAGTAAGTCTGAGCTTGCTATATCTGTACCAGTTGTTATTGTGCTTGCAGAGGCCTTCAATTAGCTGAACAGTCTAAATAAACAAGAAAAATTAATATGATTACAAACCTAACACTGAATCACTTTTGGTTACCTACTGATATGAACAACTTCAGAGTTGTATTTCTCAGCTGAGATGTTGTTGAACTGGGTCAGCCAACTTATATGTTCTTTGCCTTTTGAACTTTGAAGTAACATGTCAGTTTATGACTGCATGTTTATTTCAATTATGAAGTAAGAAGCACATGGCTCAGCCAAAATACAGATTCAGGGCTTCAGGTTTCAGAACTGCTAATTCTGTTAATTATATGCTAATTTTTCAATTAGCTCTGCCTAACAGGGGAAGAAATATTTTCCTGTGATACACTGATAAACACCTCAAGGATAAAACAGAGATTAATGTTTTCGTCCTTAGAATCAGAAGATTGTGGAAAAGTTGCATGCCTTAATCTGCTAGCTATTCTCTTTTGAGACAGCCTCAGCACTCTTAGCTCTCCTTGTTGCAAGGGCACACAGCAAGCTCATGTCTAACTTACTGTCCAACAAAGATCTCTGAAGATCCTTGTGCTAAATCTGCTTGGTAAGCACAAGTGTATTATTCTAAACCATTAGTGCTAAACATTCTTACTCATACTTCCATTCGGGCAACTAAAGTGGCAATCATCCATGTCACTAAAGAAAGGAGAAATTGAGGACAGTAGGAAAAATGAAAAGGTGATACACTGAAATATCTGGCAAATTCAGTCAGTGATTCTACAACATGGAGTTTAGACAGACCAATGACAATTTAGCCATCTGCTATGCAAGTTCTTATCCCTGGTCAAATTGTAGAGATTTCCTTCTTATTCTGGAAAGCAGAATGGATATGTGGGAGGATGTATTTCATTTCAGCCCAATTGCAAGAGAACTACCGCAAGATGTGAAAGCACCCAAGGAAATACAGTCTCCTGCTAGCCTGGCATGTCATGTTGCAGAACAGCTAAATTGGTCAGAGGAATTGTGTCCTATTTCTGTCTAGAAAGGAAGACTAGAGAAATCGATCAAGGCAGCATTTTTCCTGACATGTTTTTCTTGGGATAATTTGAACACAACCAGGTGAGGTAGAGCTGCTGGTCCAGTCCAGCTGGGAGGATCTTAAAAGCTGCCCTGAGATTATCTGGTGCCCTTTATAAAGGTCTGAAAAGTTTTCCCCTTCCTTGCTCTTCTCCAGCACACCTGAAGATGCAGCAGCAGGTTTGTGTTCAACTCACTCCCTGCTGTTGGCAGGACTGTCCCTGTCCTTTCTTCTACAGTGTCCCTGAGCTGTGGAAAGGGAGACAAAAAAATATCTAACATTTATATACAAATTTGCATAAGCATAAATGACTGCATGCTACATTTGGGCCGACATCCATGTAGTAGTAAACTTCCATAAGGGAAAACCAACAGGTTTGTACTATCATTGGGTCACTGCTGAGGATGAAAATGCAAGGCCAACTCTTCTTCCCAGTCCAGACTCCAGAGGTCCTCTGCTTAAAAGATAACAAGATACCTATTACAACATAATCTTAATTCCCTTCATGCTAGTCATATTCATAAATACATATAATTTATCTAACTTTTCTTGGATCTTATGTAGATTTCATGTGTGATTTTTGACTGGACTGCAAAATCTTTATAGTCCTGAGATTAGATTAGATTTTGCCTGTTTTCCTTACAGCACTCCAGATGTGCCTCACCAGGGCTGAGCAGAGGGTCAGGATCACCTCCCCCAACCTGCTGGCTATGCTCCTCCTATTCCTCCGGATCCCATTGCCCTTCTTGGCCCCAGGACACACTGCTGGCTCATGGACAGCTTGTTGTCCACCAGGAACCCCAGGTCCTTCTCCACAGAGCTGCTTCCCAGCAGGTCACCCCCAGCCTGTGCTGGTGCCTGGGGTTGTTCCTCTGCAGGTGCAGGATCCTGCACTTGTCTCTGTTGAATTTCAGGTGTTTCTTCTCTGCCCATCCCTCCAGCCTGTCCAGGTCTCACTGGATGGCAGCCCAGCCCTCTGGGGCATTGGTCACTCCTCCTGGCTCTGTGTGTCAGGGAACTCACTGAGGGTACACTCTGTCCCTGCCTCCAGGTCACTGATGAATAAGTGAACAAACCTGAACCCAGAACTGACCCTGAGGAACCCCCCAGTACTCCCTGTGTCACTGCTCACAGCTCTCTGAGCTCAGTCAGTTCCCAATTCACCTCACTGTCCTCTCAGCTAACCCACACTTCCTGAGTTACCTGTGAGCATGTAGGGGAAACAGCGTCAAAAACCTCGCTGCAGTCAAGATGTCTCCACTGCTCGCTTCCCCCTGTCCACGCAAACCATATGTCATTTTTAACAAAGCCTTCATTCAGAGACTTTTTTCCTGATTTGAAACCAAATTAGAAAAAACTCATGAGAAACGTATGGAACTGTTTGATAGCTGTTTTGTATTGCACATTTCTATTCCTGTCCAGCTCTGTTCTGCTCCAGAGGATTTCTCATGCCTTGATCTGTACAGATAGTCATGTCACAAGCTATGTCCTGTCTTTGCCATCCACTGTTGTGAAATACTTCTCTTTCCTGGAGAAAATGGCATTCAGATGGTGCCACAGCACCTATCTTAGTGAAATTAATGTATCAACATGCTGTTGTTGTTGTTGTTATGACTGATGATTAATAATTCCTACAATAATAATTAATGACAATAACTAATTGCTGCTAACAGCTGCTTACCACGTTGGTTCACTTTGGATTTGCATGGAAGGGAGATTTTAACCCGCTCCTTGTCCTCAATTACAAATTTACACTCCAGTCTGTAGTGTGGTAAGCTGCCACTTGCAAGGTGGAAACTTCTTGGCTGGCAAGTGACAAAATGCACAAGAAGGATGTGCTACACTTTTGAGAGGAATATACAGCCTGCTCACGTGAGAGTAACTAAACCCCATGAGTTCAAAATGAATTAGTGCACAGAAAGTTGTTGATTTCTGCCCCTACAGCTGACTAAGGGCTTCCACAATCCCAAATTGCATCCCAGAGTAAAAAAACCTGCACATGGTACCTATGTCTGCAGCATTTACACAATCTGAGATGTGACAGCAGACATTTGCAAACCCCACTGCTTTTGCTGTTCCTCATAAGAGGAAAAGAAAAAATTCATGATCATTCCAAACAGCTTAATATTTTTAGACAATCAAGTTTTTCTTTCAAGGTTCACTTGGAATTCTACTCCTGTACATTGCAGCAGCTTTTTTCTGACGCTTCTGTTAAAATCCAAAGACAGCTCCTATCCAAGAATAATTTCAGTTTCTGAGTTACAGACATTTTCTCTACACAGTAGAGCAATGAATCAAAGTATTTAAATTCAGACTGCTGTAATATTTCACAGTCCTGCCAGAGACAGAAACACAGTACCCAAACTGTAAACAGCTCTGTTTCCTTGCAGGCCTGTTAAACATCATACAAGCACTTACATCTCTATTTAACATTGGATCCCATAGAACGAACCACAGATGTAAACCTACGTTGTGCATAAGCATTTTCAGAGCTGAAATTTGGTTATTTAACTTCAAAAGTGCATGTATTTTAGGTGAGCTCTTGACCATCATGGAGCAGAATTTTTTTGTATGTATTTTTCCTTCAAAGGAAAATAAAGCTCCACTTTTTTTTTTCCTTTTTATCTCCCCTTTTTTAAGTAACAAAACAAAGAAGGTATGGCAACACCAGGCTATTTAGAAATCTAGGCCAGGAAAATCTACTGGATAGCTTAGCTGCTTTCTGAATTGCATTTCATCAGATTACTAGTATTAGTATTAGTATTAGTATTAGTATTAGTATTAGTATATTAGCTACTCTAGGCAAGTAGCCAAATGGGGATCTTAGCAAGTTAAGTTTCAAATATTCTCAAGAGCACAGATAACTCATGGAATATTTTTATCCTGGAATTATCAATTTTACTTCACTGTAACACAATTTACCAAAAAAAAAAAAAAAAAAAAAAAAAAAAAAAAAAAAAAAAAAAAAAAAAAAAATTTGCCTGACAAACTTAATTATAGTCTTTTTTTGAGAAGAAAATGTTTTTTTATATAACCTACCTGAAGTTTTGCTGCTGCACACAAGAAGGACTACCCCAGCGTGCCTTACCCAAGGATAGAAACAAATCTCTGTGTAACAGAATATGGCTTGATTGAACACTACTTTCCTGCAGCTAAGTAGTGTATGCCTTCCTACAAGCAGCCTTCAATCTCTGGGCTGATATCTGCATTGAAAAAACCAATGCTATGCTTCCTCTCATCTGTGCTTTCAGAAGAGTATAGCCTATTACTACTTTCAGCACTATTTATCCCTGCAGCAAGTAACTTGTTCCAGTCTCATGTGGTGTCTGAATCACACGTTTACTTACCTCCAGACGTTTGCAGTGTCATAAGCACCATGCCCAATTTGAGTTCTGCACCACAGACCAGCCAGAAATTCTTTAGGTTTTGCCCACTCTTCAATATTTAATCAGTTGCATTATCAGTCACACCCACGTCATTATGACTCAAAAGCCTCTCCCACTCAGAACCAAAACTCCTTTAGAAGAAACCCAGGAAAACAAACCCGATCCAAACAAATCTGAAAAACTGTCTCTCTGTATGTATCATGGAAATCCATGCAGAAAAGGTACATCACACTTCCACGTGAAAGCTAAGCAAAACATCTCTAGCGAAACCTCCAGCATGTGTTAGGAATTCTTTTCATCTCAACAAAACAGGCTAATTTTTTTGCAGGTAATGTTTTCAGCTGATGCTTTTTTCCACTCAAGATGTAAAAAAAGCTACATTATTTTGCTACAGTAGCTGTCAACATCAGAATATCTTCTCATTTTTGCTTTTAATTCTCCTGAAATTTTGAATGTTTTTAACTAGGTAAAATGTAGGTCCTTTTAAAACTATACCCTGGTATTTATCATTCTCTAAACAGGCCTTCTCATGGAATTTTGCAGTACTATAGTGAAAATGACATAAGAGCTTTACAGGTCAGTATAACTAGTTTAGTTTAAATTGGATTTCCCAATTGCCATTGTTGGTCCAGTAACATTCATGGGGGAAAATAATTTGTACTAGACTCAATCCAGGCTGACCAGCATCCTGAGCACTCTGACTGCATTCAAACATCTTTTAAAAAGGCATAAACCTTAAACTAAGAGTGAAGGCTCTGGACTTCCTTCCAAAGTGCCATTATTAGAGGGTCACCTTTCTTTTGTGGTTTTTCTCAAATCCCTTAAAGCCCCATGAATGGAGCACAGTACAAAAGCACCCCAGGCAGATATCTAGCCATGCCAGTTTCATCACAGGCCCATGCTCACATGGCTCTGCTGTTTGGAGAGCTGTAGGGTTATGAATTAGTGCATCTGCACTGTTTATCCACCTTGAAGAACTGACATGAAGGAAAATCATGGTCTTGGTGTGCTCTGGAGGTATGTCTCTGCTAAGGGATCACCCCTCATGTCAATAAGTAGGGAACAGGTTAACTGACCACATTTTCACCCTCAAATACTCTTTGTAGGAGCTGAGATCATGGAATCACAAAATTGTTTGGATTGGGAGGGGCCTTAAAGATCATATAGTCCCAGCACCTCTTCCAGGGAAAGGGACAGCTTCCCCGGGATCAGGCTTGTCAGTTTTCGTTCCGTGCTGGGGCAAAATGGTTTGGCCAAAGCACAGACTAACCTGTCATGAAGAGCAGATTGCTAGCATTGGGTCTATGTAGAAACAGGTGGAAATGAGTGGGTTTTTTTGGAAAGCATAAGAAGAAATGATTAAACAACACAGCTGTTGAATGTAAAAGGAGATGCAGTAAAGAAATGCTGATTTGCATAATGAAGGAGAGCACTTTTGCCCTCAAGAGCTCTACAAATAGAGGAAGCAGCTTGGATCTAGATTCAACATGACTAGGACAGCAGTCATAATAATCTTCTTGCTCAATAGCTTTAAAAGTTCAATTTAATCTTATTTTCTCATTATTTCCTCCTTATGATCCTACTACCAGTTAGGTACCCCTCTGACCCAGTAAAATAGTATTGCTATTGCATAGATATTTAAGAAACATCATTCTTTCTCTTCAGGTTTAGAATAATTGTTAAAATTGCCTCTAAACAAAATGTAAATGTACCCTGCAGTCTTGGCCAGGAGATTTGGTCTGTTGAGTAAAATATAGATTCTTACCACTGTGTTTAAGTGTGGATAAACTGCATTCTCTCTGCAAAAATCCCAGTTTGTGCTAGGAGCTAGGATTTGTTCCCCTCCCTGTGGACAGTGATGGACACTGCACCTATTATTTTTGCAGGGCAGAAATGTGCCTTCTGGTGAATAACAAACCCAAAAAGAATCCCATCTGTTCATTTTTTTAAACCCATCACTCTATTAATAGGGTTAAAGGAAACATTTTCCTGGTAGTTATGAAAAGAGGTTTAAAACTTCACAGGGAACACAAAATAGCTCCATTTCATTTTCCAGAGAACAGAAAGCATTTCAAATCCACTGGGATTGTCAGTCATGTCTTTTCTGCTCTTTGAGTCTGCATGCATTGGCATGGACAGTAGTGTCACCCTGTTAGTCTCCTCTTCCTTGTCTCCCTGTGTGCCAAGGGTTGACTGGAGCCAGAAAACTGGGCTCAAGAATGAAACCTGGTCTTTGGTGCCAGCACAACTCTGAAAATACAAAAGACCTGATACAAATGTCTTAATCTGTGTAGTATTTGTATTGCCAAGGAAACAGTCAAGTGCCATGGGAATAACTATGAACAAGAACAGAGTCTGGCCTAATTTATGTCAATCTGTGAATGAATGCTTTGCTCCAAGAATAACAAGAGCAAGACAGCAAATCTTTCAAGCAGTTACACCAATTTCCTGCAGTAATCTGAAGATCTGAATGCGCTGGTTACAACATAAGAGCTCAACAGCAAACTACTAGACCCACCCCCTGTTAAGAAACAGCCTCTCTTGACAACTCACATCTCCCTGGGGCACAGAAAAGAGAGGTAGCACCTTTAATTCACCAGGTCAGCTACCTCCTTGGAAACATTAGGACACACTACTGTCACAGATAGAAGACACCCTGCAAATGCAGGATGGAGATATTGGTGCTCTCTGGTGCTGCAGTGTGTGAGTGTATGAGCTCAGTTCCATGAAAATCCTTATCACCACTAAGGGAGGCAGCCACGCCTCAGGCTGCAGCCCACTGCAGTTCAGCAGACTTTCCTTGTGCTAGGTGAAGGGCACACACAGGTTTACAGTAGCTCAAGTCTGACAGTTTTTAAGTATGTTTTTTCAGGATGCATTTCAGCTGATATGTTCTTAGGCCTGGCTGACTGTTCCATTGCATAAATGTTTATGCCAGCAGAAGATTGGGAACTGGAATACTAGGGTGGGAGATTCCCTTTGAGCACTAATGTGGGCATACAAATTTTTAAAGTGACAGTAAACTACTGGGGGGTGTTTTTGGGGGATTTTTTTGTTTTGTTTTGTTTTGGGGTTTTTTTTTTGTTTGTTTGTTTGTTTGTTTGGGTTTTTTGTTTGTTTTTTTTTAGGGAAAGCAACATATAGAAAAGGCATTTTCTTGCTATGTATAACCTCGAAAATCAGACCATGCCCTGAAGTTCCTAAATAAAAGCTAAGTTCTTCAGAATACCACTTCCCTTCTCTTGTCCATTCTCTTCCCTCTAGTAAGCTTAACAACAAAACAAAGAAAGATCAAAGCTGAGTCCTTGGCAGTTGGGCAACATTACAACAGAACAGAAAACTGAGTAATACAAGTTCCAGCCTTGTTGCCTCTATGACTACGATCCTGTTTGTGACTTAAGAATCTGGATGCCAGATTTCTGAGAATTTTAAAGATAAACAATGAAGTGCAGCAAGGAAGTAAATATGCAATGAGGAAGAGCTGTTGGGAGTGAAACCTTACTGGATGAATTAGCATAGCTAAGAAAATTTATCCCTGCCCCTCCTGAAAATACATTTTTATAGGTATGCAATTATTCTCTGCTGCTGCTGCCTGTCAAAAAAATGTCAGGATAAGGCAGCTGGGATGTGCCTTCCTAAGGGACAGAAATTTTACTGTAAATGTTTTTTTCTTTATTCTTTGGTTAATTGCAGAGTCTGGCTTTTCCCTGTAAGATGCTAACATTACTTTGCAAGCTCATTTCCCCCAAATCCTTAAGCAAAAATTTGAGTTTATGGTTCCATGTTTCTTTACTCAGCAGTGCATGTGAGCAGTTGTTGCTGGCAATGAGGCCTGTGTGGGCCTTTAGTGAAAAGTTCATGAAGTGCTTTTTGGCTAGAGATGGATTAATGGACTTAGACTCCAAAGGTGCATATAGATAAAACAGTCCCTGCATTTAGCAAATCTTTTAAATAAATTCTCACCACCAGTTTTCCCTTTGGGTCCCATCCAGATTTTAGGCGCAGAAGAAAGTGATCACATATATTTGCTGAGGTTCTCATTCTTCAAATCCCCCCCCCAACCTCAGCATCACTCTTTGCTTGAATACTTGTCTAGTTTAGCCTTTCCAGAAACTTTTATCTGTCAGTGAATCTCAGAGCAGACCTCTGCAGTTCCCTGACCCATCAGAATCAAACAGCTCCCAATCCACTTCCCAATATATTTTTACCTTTTGTTTCTTGATAGAAGAAGTGTTTGATACAATCAGAAAACATTAAAAAGTGGAAAAAACTCTATCTTCTGGAATACAGAGAAAATAGAGTTTATCTGTAAATGCATCTGTGAACCATTCTTCACTTTTCATTGCCGGCACACATTTTGTATAAAACCTACAGGTCTGTGCTTTGGCACATGGATACAAGCACACTGGACTTTTCAGGTTTTGTGTGGGTTATTTTTTGTACTGCACAGTGTAACTACTGTGTTTAATGCACAGGCTCTGGACTCTTCATAGTGAGTGGAAAATACCAGGTTTTCATCCACCTTCAAATACTTCCAAACCCTGAGAGAAGGCAGCTTGAGATCATCAGACAGTAATGTGCTTGTTTGAAGGCTTGACCATCCCAACTGCTAATGAGAAAAATCTGCAAATCAATGACAGCCTTAGACATCATTACATATATTTTCTTTTTCTCCTTTTCTTTTCCTTTACTAAGTCCAGAGAGCTTTCTTGAACCAGTCTGAAAACTGGCTCAACTCAGGGGAAGCTTCCTGTTATTTTCAGATTTTTTTTATCCCATGATGAAACAGACATGTCTAAAGATGTCATTCCCATTTCCAATATTTTTTGATCCATTCAATTGCATTATCCTGAGCCTCCCTTCTATACACATGTGGGAAAATAATTACATTCTCAGCATCTTCAGTTGTCAAAGTTTATTTCAGTTTTCTTTAATTCTGCTATGAGAAGCTGACTTTGTTTGAATGCCACCAGACTTATGCTGAGATCAACAACC